AGGCGGAACGTGGAAGCGGAAGAAAATACAGTCCTGGTATGTACCTAATTGATAAAATTAAACTTTGTTTATCTTCGGATTTATTAAATATGTATAACTAATATCCGAACCAGGGGTGGGCGCAAGAAACAATCTCAAAAAACGCAAGACGCAAAACGCAACGCAAGGCCAAAATTTAACGCAAATAACGCAAGACGCAAAACGCAAGAGCGCAATATTGGAGAAAAAAATTTTTAAATAAGTAGTAGCCATTTTTAAGCTGAAAATTGAAGTACATACATATTACTATAAGTCAGAGAGTCCTACTCAATTTTGAGATACCTGTAAGTTGGATGGATAATGATTTGGTTAGATATCGAAGATACAAGGGAATATGAATGATATCAGAGGATTTAGAGGGATCAAGGGGTTTAACGAAGTACCGTGGGATTACGGAGATTATTATGTAATTTGGAGGGACAAATCTCAGATACCTTTCTAAATCCACCATAATCCCAGTAATTCGACCAAAATTCTTATATCCCTTCAGATCAACTGATCTTTTCCTTAGCTCTACTTGATCCTTCTTGATTTATCAGCGCCGCAGGCGAAAATTTTGAAAATTTTGGAAGACCAGAAGCCAGATTTCTTCCTTTTTTAGCGCCGCAGGCAAAAATTTTGAGAATTTTCGAAGGCCAGAAGCAAGATTTTTTAATTTTTCCTGCGCCGCAGGCGAAAATTTGGTGAATTTTGCAAGGTCAAGGAGTAAAATCTCTTCCATTTTTGTCCACAGATTAGTTGTATTTTTGCGTTAATTTCATCGAAAAAAACGCAAAACGCAAAAAAAGGCCAAAATTTAACGCAAATAACGCAAAACGCAATACGCAAAACGCAATGCGCCCACCCCTGATCCGAACGTATTAAGTGTCTTATTTGTTAGTTCAGTAATTCTTCGGTTCATACCCCCCACTAACTCTTTTCTGGTCATTTAATCACATTTCCTTCCCTTTCTCCCTTATTTTTATTGAGACATGTATTAAAAGGATTATGAGAAGCCGAGAAATGGAATTGTAGGGCTTCCATAAGTTTTCTCTTTTTTTACCTTTTCATAATTCACAAAATCATTACAAAGAAGAAATTCAGCAAAACGTTCACACCCTGCAAGACACTGCATTAAAGTATTAAAATAATCAGTATTTCCATGATTTTTCAGTCCTAAGTAGTTAAATTAATTTTTTTATGTCTAAAAACCTCTTAAGCAAGGAACAATTTTGCTATCAACAATCATTCTTTCAATATTTTGCTTATTAAAAGAATGTTCTGATTTTGTGACTTCGTAATCCTCACCAGTATAATCAGAATAAGCTATAATTTAAAATTATAAAAAGATTTTTTGGCATTGAATTCCGTCTTAAATGTTTTAATATTCTTGTAAAATCCAAGAAAAAATCAACTACTATAAACTTACAAATTTTTATACCAGGGATTTAGCCGACATAAGAGATGGTATTCCGATTTCGGAAATTGGAAATTACTGCAAAAATTTAGTTCCGGATTTTCGGAAATCGGTCGGAAATTCGGCACTACTGAAGAAAAGGGTGTTTTTCTGCGGACTTATTTTGCGGACTTTTCCTTTCCTTTATAAGTTTTACTTGTAGCAACTAACTGTCAAAGGCCTTCCCCCCTATTATTTTTCTTACCTAATATTGTACATAAAGGTCAGATTTTCTTCTTGCTCTCCTTCCTCTATTTGCCCTGGAACAAGAGACATTGATAAAGAGAAGATTATTTTTTTGCCTTCGAAAACAATTTAAACAAAATAAAGAATTATATAAAATGATTTGGTGTGTAACATTATGCATTTCTGTTTAAAAACATTACATTCATACTTATATTTAAAAAATCTTGAACAACTGAAAAAATAAATTGAACTCAATATCGAACACCTCAATTAAAAATATTGAACAACTCAATTAATCTTCTCTTTATCAACAATGTCTCTTGTTTGAATATGCCAAGCTCAAATAGAGGAAAAAGAGGAAGAAGGAAATCTGACCATTTTGTACAATCTTAGGTAATAAAAATAATGGGGGGGGGGCAAGGAATTACCCGCATCTCTGTTCCACAATCACATATTCTTTTTCGATGAAGCATTCCAAGATCAGTGATCCATTGTTGAAATTCATCATCGGATAATTGAAAATTTAGTTAAAGTAAAATTTTTTATTGATTGTAACATTCTTTACGTTTATAATGTTCAAATTAATCATGAACACATATTTTTCAAATTGGCATATACATAAATTAATCCTTTGACAGTTAGTTGCTACAAGCAAAACTTGCTACAAGCAAGACAGCCAAAACATTAAAAAAGAATCATTTAAAAGTAAAAAAAAAGTCCGCAAAATAAGTCCGCATAAAAAGCACCCTTTTCTTCAGTAGTGCCGGAAATTCCCTATCCGAAGGGGTCGGGCTCAGGGATGGTTCGGTTTTGATCTACCGTAGTTTTAGATTCAAAGTGAAGCACAAAATACATAGATAACGAAATTAAATTAAAAAAATAAAATTAAATGCATAACTGGATATTTATTTTTAGAATGAAATATTAATGAAAATAATAAAATTACTATTTGATATATTAGGAGCATGTGAATCATTCGATGTAATCATAGAACCTAAAATAGAAACAATGTAGGCATCAAATGTCTTTTCCAATCTTCCTCACTATCAAAATTTGAACGCCAGGGATATTTACTTTCAGACATGTTAATAAAATACAGGCTAAAATATAAATGAATAAAATTCATTAATATTAATGAATAAAATTATTGTAATTAATAAATAAAATTTAACTTTAATAAATATTTCAGGTCGCAACCAGGGCTTCACGCAAATGAAAAAAATTTTCAGCAGCCGCAATCCACAATTTTAATTTAAAACGGCAACCGCAATCTTCAAATCAATTTTAAAAGGCAAAGAAGACAGATTTTTTCCTTTTTTAGCGGCGGAGGCTCAAATTTAAAAATTTTGGAAGGACAAGAAGCCAGATTTTTCATTTATTGTGTGTGAAATTTCAGATCCGCAGCCGCAATCTGCAAGTCAAAGAAAACACATCATTTCAGGCAATCTGCAATTGCGTGTACCGCGGCCACCAAAATATACCTGTATTTGACCCAAAACCGAAAACGGGAGTACCAGTTAATAAACGTTTGGATCCAACCCTAGTATTGAATCTTATATGTTATTGCACTAAATATTTATGTAATTTAATAATAAAATATTAAAAAACAATATTTGGTAGATGAGATTTTTATTAAAAATAATTATAAGAAATAAAGGTTGTCTCATCAAATTGCCCGCAAAAATATTTTCTGGTCAATAATGAACAAGGGTGAGGGGCAGAACAAGGAATGCCAAAACACGGAACGGATAGAACATGGAACGACAAAACATGGAAAAGACAAAACAAGGAACGACCAATATACGGACCATACCAAAACACGGAATGGCCAAATCATGGAACGACCAAAACACGGTCCAGAGAATATTTTTAAAATTTTCCATAATTATTTTTAAATTCTGTTTTTTTAAATACTCTAAATGTAAATGAATTTGATTTTAATAAATATTCTATTTTCAACAATATCCTGATTTAAATAAATTCTGATTTTTGAAAAATATGATTTTAAAAGTATTCCGTTTTTTGGTCATTCCGTGTTCTGTCCATTCCGTTTATGGAAAGACCGTGTTTTGTCTGTTCCATGTTTTGGTATAGTCCGTATTTTGGTCGTTCCTTGTTTTGTCTTTTCCATGTTCTGTCCCGACACGTTTTGAGGTATGTTCTAGATAGCAACTGAGAGGGAAAAATGTATCTATGTATGTAATTTAAAAGTTATAAAAAGTAATTTTTTCATATAGATGAGAATTTTTATTTAAAATAATTTTATTTTTAAATGAATGTAGTCTCATCAAATTGCCTGTCTGAGTAAATTTTTTCAGGTCAACTTTAATAATAGAGAATTTAACAAGGGGCAATATAAATAATCTTTTTTTTGCAAAATAAAGAAAAAAATAGGTAAAACCTTTTTGAACTTGTTGACCTCAAAAATATATTTTTACTTTTATTATCAATCAAAAAATGTAAAATTTGCACATAAAAAATAAAATAATTCAAACACTTTCTAGGTTCTTTTGCTTTTTGCCTAAAATCGGAATTTTCTAAGGATGAAAGGCAAAAGGAACGTAGAACAGCAGCCCTTTTAAAGTCGGTTCAGACAAAAATCTGACATCGGAAAAACATTTTTTCTTTCTAATTTATCATTGTACCAGGGTAAATTAGAAGTTCAGACCTATAAATCGACTTCTTACCACAAAATTGAAAATCTACTTATGTATATATGTATGTATACGGACCTGAAGCACCAAAAGGGAGGTGCTTCAGGTCCGTATTTTTTTTCACCCGTGCTCTAAAAATTTTTTGTAGCCCACTTATATTTTGAAAATTTGGAACAATTCTCCGATGTGGAATAAATATTAGAGTTCGGATCCGGACCGGATCCGGTCGGGATTTTCTTTCTATTGCGTCCAAACGAATCTATTGCGTCCCTGATCAACATCTATTTCCAATAGCTAAATAGGACGGAATCCCTGTTTGTTTAGGAATCCTTTTTTTTTATTTGTTTAGGACATTGTTGACTTAATTATCCCGGGGGCTAGGCTGAACAGAATCCGACCTTTTCGCCTAGCTCCAGATTGCAAAACTCTTATTTAACTATATCAACAAACACAAAAATTAATCTTAGCAATAGCTAAGACTTCTTAAAAATTATGAAACTTCTCAGACGTCACAAGTGTATCAAGGAGTCTTTTTGCGGGATTTATTAATTATTTTAATTTAAATATGTAGAGTCGACTCATTTTATCAATGAAGAAAACATTGTCTCACATCCTTGTTCCTCGATTAAAATATTTTTTTAATTTTAGATTTTAAATTATATTTGATTCCATATAATTTTTATCAAATGGCATTAAAACGAATTTATAAGGTTAGTTCATAGTCATAATTATCCTCATAAGTAGTCAAAATTGAAAGGATAAGTCGTATTAACTCGTTCAGTCAGTACATTCCGTTTTCCGATCCTCGCCATCCTTATTGAAAATTTTTTAGTGAAAAATGGAAGGGACGCTAAAATGGAAGGACGCTTAAGCGAAATTTTCGAATAATTTTACATTTTTCAGGAGCTTTTAGACTTTGGAAAAGAACCTCCAGCTTTGTGTAATGCAGGCCCAATCGGAGAGGACCTCTGGAATTGGCAAGCAACCATTACTGGGCCTCCAAATTCGCCTTATCAAGGAGGAGTGTTTTACTTAAAAATTAACTTTCCACACGAATATCCGTTTAAACCGCCAAAGATTAGTTTTAAAACACAGATTTACCATCCAAATATTAATAATGAGGGATGCATTTGTTTGGACATTCTTCAAAATAAATGGTCGCCGGCTTTGACTATTTCTAAAGGTATCGAAAAAAAATATCGAAAAATATCGATAATTATCGATGAAAAATCGTATCGAGCCGATCTCTAATTTAATTATGTATTTTATTCACCACAAATTATATTTATTTTTAAATATTCTGACCCAAAATAAGAAGATAAGTTTTTTGATTGATTATAGGAACAAAAAAATATAAATTCAAGGGATCCTGCCGTCCCGACTCCCGAAATTTGTGACTTATTTTTGTACCGGCAGGATCCCAAGTAAATACTCCAATAAAAATGTAAGGATGAAAACCACAAAATAGGAAAGAAAATTATTAATTAGTGAAAAGAAAGAAAGAAAAAGAATAGAATTATCCGCAAAGATTGTTAGCATTTAGTTATTAATTTCAATTTTTTACAAGAGCCATATTTCCCTTGCCCATAATATTTACATTCCAGACCTTCACAACATTTAAAAGTATTACTATCATTACCACAAGGATCGTATTCCTTCAAACACGTTTCACATTTTTTTGTTTTGAAAGAACAAAAAGATCCATAACAACAAGACAACCATTCTTTATTTATATCGCATTGAGCACCTTGTTTAACACAATTGTAAGGTCTACAGAATGAACCGCCAACAGCTGTAGTCTTACGATTTAAACCAGAACAACATTTATTGTTGTTATTGTTGCAATTGATTTCATTCTTTTGAAGACAACAATTAATTGGTTTAAATAATATAAATAAATTTAGGAATAAAAATAGAACAAGAATAATATTATTTAAAGAAGCCATTTAATTAATTTTTGGAGCTTGGAATATTTTTAAAATAATTATACTGATATATATATTGCTAGACTTTGACGGCATTTTATACAATCCCATATAAAGAGCTATTTGGATCATGGATTAATTTGGCTTATGTTTTTTCCAATAAAGCTTAATTCGGCTTATGGTTCAGCCTATAAACTACAAATTCAATTAAAATATTTTTATAGAAATAAGACAAATTTAAATTTGGAAATTTGATACCAGTTTACCTCAAAGGTGGAATAAACCACAAAAATTGTAAGCCATGAAAAATGAGCCAAGAAAAATGAGGCATGAAAATCTGATGAAAGGTATAAGGTAAAAAGTTGGATTTGCGAAAAAAGGGGGAGGGGGGGATATCCGGAATAAATAAATTTTTAGGTAAACAGATGATATCGGGAACTAAATTAAAATTGGTAAAATAAAATTTTGAATAAACACAAATTCTAAAATAAAATTTAGTTAAGCTAAAACTTTTGCCAATGAACAAAAAAATTTTTTGGTTATGATAATTTAAAGAATTTTCCTTACACTTGTAAATCTGAATTTTATGCGCCTTCTTCGCATAATTCTTTATATTTTTTTCCGAATTTCCCACTTGATAATATATTTTTTAATACGCTTAGTTTTAAATTAAAACAATTTCTAATGAAACCATCTTAAACAGTTTCTAATACAAAAATCAAAATTTTATCCATATAAAGTCACAATTTCTTTGTAGAATGTAGTTTCCGATTTTTTAATTAAAAAGAAAGCAAAAAGTCAAGTTAATTTTGATAAATTATTAAATAAGGAAACAAAAAAGGAAAGTATAGTTTGACAGAAATTTCTTAGATTTATTTGATTATTTTTAAAATTAATTATAAAAGATATGGTTCATAATTTAGAGTTTCTTCACACATTTCATATTTCGACAACGAAATCCATAACAGCATTGTTTATTCTTTGTATCATCATTATCGCAAACCCCACCTTTAATACAGTTGTAAGGTCGACAAATGGAATAGTTGAGAGAATCAGTTTTACAATTTAATCCTTTACAGCATTTATTGTCTTGATTGTCACATTGATAATTATCCTTCTCTACACAGTTGTAAGGTCGACAAATTGGATAGCCAAGCCTATCAGTTTTACAATTTAATCCGGGACAGCATTTATTGTCTTTATTGTCACAATAATAATAATTCTTCTCTACACAGCTGATTTGTTTACAGGTCCCAAAACCAATATTCGCAAATCTACAAAACGAACCAGGACAGCACTGATTATTGTCGAGACAAGGATCAGTGTCTCCATTTTTAAAACATTTACAATTATTTAATTGAAATAATAAAAATAAATTTAAAACCAAGAAAGGAATAAGAAAAATATTTTTTGAAGAGGCCATTTAATTAATATTTCCAGAAAATTTTATTTAAAATTCTGAAAGATAAAAAATATTTGTGCTACTGCGAATCTGGAATTAAAAATAGGTTGGATTGGTTTTCTAATTTATTTGTAATATTTTTGACTGTATTTTTTAAATTAATAGTTTAAAAGTTGTAAAATGTCAGATCCGATTTACACATTTAAAAAATTTTTTTCATCCGGGCAGGATTTTTCTGGACAAAATCAGTATTCAGAGGGTTATTGTAATTTTAATGGATTAAGAAGGATATCGGGGGATTACGATTAATAATAAGGAATGTAGAAGGATTAAGAGAGATTACTTTTTCCCGTGATTTTATAGGTGGTGTCTTTCGAAATAACTCGGAAAACTGGACAGAACTAGGTGTAGGCAGAGTCGTGGACAATTATGGACAAGGGGCAGTATTATTTTCAATATATTGGATATTAATTAAAATGATATAGTATGTATTGCTAGACTTTACCAGCATTTTATATAAAGCCCATATAAGTCGTGTAATGTTAAGATCAATCTCAATCTACAAACTACTATTGAGTTTTAAACAAACATAATTAATTTGAGAATGGTTACCACTTAGCGAAGCCGTGAAAATTGATTAAAATTATGAGGTAAAAATTGGCTTTTTTTTTTTAAAATTGGCAAACAAAAAGGATTAGAAATCCACGTTTAGAATTTTGGTAATGAATGCGTACGTTTTTGCCTTAAATCTATCTATTAAATTAAATGCCATATAATTAAGTGACTTTTGATTTTGCCAATTTACAAACTACAAAAGAGTTTTAAGTAAAATTAATTTTTATAGAGAGAAAACAAATAAAGCTAGAGAATGGTTACCATTTTCCCGTAGAAGCTGAATGGCACCATGAAAATTGGCTTAATATAAAGAGGTAAAGGTTTGATCCGCAGTAAAATGGGGGGTTATCCTGAATAAATAAATGAAATAAAAGGTAATAAAAATCTAAATTTGTAATGCTAATATTAAATGGAATTTGCTCAAATACTTTCGTTTTTACCAAAAAACACGAGGAAGTCAAAATTCAAAAATAAATTTTTTTAAATTAAATATCAGTTTCAAAAATCATCGTTTCTGAAGCGTAAAACCTCTTAATCCCTCTTAATCCTTCTTAATCCCTCTACATACCTTATTATTAATCGTAATCCCCCGATATCCTTCTTAATCCATTAAAATTTCAATATCCCTCGAATACGGATTTTGAACCGAAAAATCCGGTCCGGATGAAAAAATTTTTTTAAATGCGTAAATCGGATCCGTCATTTTACAAATTTTTGGCTCTATTAATTAAAAATAATACAGGCAATAATTTTAAGAATAAATTGGATAATCTAACCAAATTATTTTTAATTCCATAGATTCGCAGCAGCACAAATATTTTTTATTTTTCAGAAATTTAAATAAAATTTTTCAGAAAAAATTAATTAAATGGCTTCTTCAAAAAATATTTTTCTGATTCCTTTCTTGGTTTTAAATTTATTTTTATTATTTCAATTATATAATTCAATTAATCTTTTAATCTTTGTAAATTAGCTGGTCAAGAATGTAAAAGCAATGATGATTGCTGTACTAAACGTGGATTGTATTGTAGATTTCCGGATACTATTAATGGTAAATGTAAAAAAAGGAATTGTATAGAGAAGAATTATTTTATTGTGACAATAAAGATGATAAATGCTGTAAAGGATTAAATTGTAAAACTACTTCTGCTGGTTATTCCATTTGTCGACCTTACAACCCCATTAAAGAAGGTAAGGCTTGCGAGGTTAATGATAGAATGTTTAAGCAATGCGGTTATGGATTGTATTGTCAAGACAATAAATGTGTAAAGTGTAAGTCTATGAATGATCAACAAATGTGCCAATTTTAAAAATAAATTTAAAAAATTCTCTTAAACTATTTCTTTCTACTCTTTATTTTTATCTTCCTACCATTTGTAGGGAAAATCTATTTTTAATCACTTTAAATTCAAACTTTAATTTCCAAATTTTATTTTAATTTATTTCCAACGATAAAGAAAGAAAAGTTTTTTTAGAAAAAGAAAAGGAAAACGAGAATGAAAATATTCTTTAAAATTCTTTATTTTTATATAACTAACTGATTCAACTTTTAAATTCATATTTCAAATTTTCTTTATTTTTTAAATATTGTTTTTCGTTATCGTCGATGACGAAAATTCTGTTCAACTTTTTTATAATTTTATGATAAATAATCTACATATGGGATTAAGTATGTTTTAGTTAAACAATAACTAATATAGAAATAGTATTAATATATAATCATCAATTTTGAATCAACTTAATTATTTTATTCAACACAAATTATATTTATTTTTAAATTGTTTACTCCCAATGTAAAAAAGAAAAGTTTTTTGATTAAGTCTGCCATCCTATTGTCTGCCATCTTGATTCCCGAAATCGGATAATTATTTTTTGTACCGACAGGATCCCAAGTACATACTAGAATAAAGATATAAGGAAGAAAACCACAAAAATATGAAAGAAAATTATTTAATTATTAAAACTAACGACAAAGGCCATCTAAACATTGCAGACCATCACAGCATTGAAAAGTATTACCAGAATTATCACAAGGATCGTTTTCCTTCAAACACGTTTCACATTTGTTTGTATTATAAGAACAAAAAGATCCAAGACAACAATACAGCCATTCTTTTGATATATCGCAGTGCCCACCTTGTTTAACACAATTGTAAGGTCTACAAATTGAACCGCCAGTAGCTTTAGTTTGACAAGTTAAAAAGGCACAGCATTTATTGTCCTTATTATTACAATTGATTTCATTTTTTAAAAGACAGCAATTAATTGGTTCAAATAATATAAATAAATTTAAAACTAAATATAGAACA